ACACCAGATTATGACCTAGAGACTAGCTAGGCACACCACAACTAGAGGTACGTATGGTGATGATTTACACATGATTGAAGGGTTACGTTTATTCATGGGTTACGTCTGACCTCATTTAGAGGTCCTCGGGACCGAGCCGGCTATGGACAAGAACCGCAGTTAGTAGGAGACGAGATCCTATTCACACCTCTACAGCCGCGAATTGAATGAAGCTACCTTGCTGTTGTCTGTGTGCTCTGATCCCTAGCCTTACCCACGCATTCCCGGTTGGTATACATAGCTCAACGTTTCGAAGTTGGGGCGCAATTTCATTTTTGCTGAAACCTTGTCTATATAGGTGAGCGGATGTTCTGATTACGAATACGAAACTCGCTTTTTGACGCAGAGTCATGACAGTCGTAGTTCCACTAGGTCAGCTTGCCTCATAGGCGTTTTCGTGACAATCTGAAAGGTCAAAATTTCAAGAAAATTCACGTAGCGGCTTCAGTGCCCATATTTGTGAACGGCGCTGGATACTATCATCATACCCAGGTCGTCTCCTTTAAAAGCTCCATGGGAAGTTCATGCTCCCTCTTAAGGCTAGTTCCGACTGCGTGGTATTCGATAAACGTACTGTGCTACTACTTGCACAACATCTTACCAGAAAATCATAAATTTCCACACTTACAACATATAATAACCCACGTGTTCAGGAATCAGTTCTTCAAACTTCTGAAACTTTCAATTACTTCAAACTGTCTGTTTTGATTTTGACTTGTTTTTGTTTGTTAACTGCTGTTTTTGGCCGCAGTTCGCCTTGCGAATGTTTCACAAGAATGCTGGGTTGTGAACAAAACTTTCGCCCCAGGCGGGACTAGAACCCGCACCTCTCGCTTTCCGGGCAAGTGCGTAACTGGTAGCGCACTTGCCCGGAAAGCGAGAGGTGCGGGTTCTAGTCCCGCCTGGGGCGAAAGTTTTGTTCACAACCCAGCATTCTTGTGAAATATCTGTTTTGAGTCTAACGGTCTATAAGTAGCCTATGCAAGCCTACGCTTATGGAAGGAGTCGAAACATATTAGTGAACTGAGGCGATAATTATCTCCACACTTTTTCGTCGATCGCGCTTACAGCGAGTGTTCCACATAGATCACTATCGTTTGAACATCTATCGAAAGATTTGTCAAAGGGACACTACAGCCACTGTCTTTCTTGCCAGTAATTTGCCACTCATGTAGGATTTGTGTGAACCCGTGTCCCAGCAAGTTTTGATTAACTGAGTAAGTGTGAGTTTTGATTGATTGATTCGGGAACCTTTGATTATGCCTTTCCAATGCATATTCTCGATTAGCTAATTCACACCTTTGTATATTTATTAAATCTTCTAGTCTACAGAAATATTCCACGAAAATCGAGCAATAGTACTTCTTAAAAAAATTTGGACTTGTACTCAAAATGCAGTGACAGACCATTTCCGCAACACGAAAGCGCGCGCATGGTTTTCACTTTGGCAAGGGTAAGGCTAGGTAGGGGCTGCAACCCGAAGCTCAGGCAGCTCAGCAGTGGGAATGCTTTGGTGTCTACATCTCTCTCGTTCTTGTGCCCTCTCGTCTCGAGTCCCCACCAGGATTTCTTTCTTTGCACATTTGTCCACGATATCAAAGATTTCCCCTTCTTCAGCGCTACCTCGACGGTTCCTTTTGTTTTTCTTTATTGTTCGTTCATTTCCCACTTCTTTGTTCACCTTCGAGCGTGACAACTACAACTATGCAACTGTGATGTAAACTCATGATATTTTGATCCGAAGTTGGCTACTGAATGGAGATGTCAACAAGCAGTAGATAAAAATCGGCTACTAATAATAAATGGTGCAATTGGAGTTTAGGAACGGGCTCGTTGGACGGGAGGCCTTCACGTTCCGCCGCGGAAACATGCACATACAATTGTCCTTGCGACAGTGAGGAAGTCGAATGCATTGCGCATTCAGTATGAAGGCTTATAGCGGCTCTTGGAACTATTGAGACTCATCCGCTAAGGGCGTTTATGTCGTCTGACAATTCAAGTCGGATAAGAAGCGCAGCTTTTCCACAAAAGGAATCTTCAAGGGAGCTGTGAATGTGGAAGCGAATTGGCTCACAATCTCTCTTCCAACTGCAAAAATGAATTAACTTTGAGCGGCAGCATCTGTCGCCACACATACCCCCCTTAGTGGATGAGACCTGTCACTCTGTATGTTCGACAAAGCTACCTCTTATCTTTTATATAATTATAGTGGATGATATGGATGATATCAAAACTCATCCCTCTAGCCATGTGTTACTCAGATCTCTCAAGCCAACGCTATCACAGCTTCCTACAATAAATTGCACGTTTTGTTCGAGACATTTTAGAGAGAGAGAGTAAAGCCTTCAATTTTGATCGATCAATATGCGTTCATAATGAGATGCAGCTTACTCAGCAAATACATGTGAACGGCGGCTTCAACGCCTCCAGGCTCCCCCTCGCTATTCCTCTGTCAATCTTTGGATACTTCCATTTTCCTCTATACACATTAGTAGAATCCATATAATCCCCATTCTACTTTCCGGAAAAACGCTCTTGAAGAATTCATCAGGTATTCCATGACGACCGACACCTCGCGACATGCATATGCACGTGTTTCAGGAACGCAACGGCCACCGCTACCAGTATCCCTTTGACTTGACGATGTCGCTTGACGTGGTATGTTGGTGTCCCTATTTGAATCTATTCACAATTTTGCAATTTCATTTCAAGTTTTTTAGTTAATAACTAAATTCTATTAATTCTTGTTTTTGATTGTTAACTGCTGTTTTTGGCCGCAGTTCACCTGCATAACTGGTAGCACGTTTGTCTGCTAACCGAGAGGTGCGGGATCGAGCCCGCATGGAACTAAAGTTTTGCTTATAAACCAGCATTTTTGTGAATTAGTTTCTCTTTTTCCTACCACACATTTTTCCATATGCTTGAATAGTGATTTCAGACGCTGGAGAATCTGAACACTACTTTGCAACAAGTGTCAGATCTTCTAAAAACCGTCGAGATAGCAATTCTTATCGTCGCAGTCGCCCTGTCAATTTTATTGATCGGTGAGCCTTTTGAAGCTTCGCTATTGAAATCTGAAAGTCTTAAGAACCGAAAGACACTTCCAATTTTGAGATAAAATAGCCAGAAAGCTCTGCCTCGCTATGAAGTCATTGTTCTTCACAGAGGCCACTATTCTTGACCAGTGCCAACAAAATGCTTGTTACATGGTATGTAACTAAATCTCTAAATTATCGCGAGCGAAGCTCCATAAAATTACCTGTTTCTTTGCGGAATGTGAAGGAATTGCGGTTCCAAGAGATGGGGTTGTTTTTGAGGACCTCGCCGTAAAGTTAACGAAGTTTTGCGAGTTGTGCGTGAAATTGTGGAGGAATTATAGCTCTGGTGCCACTGCTTACTCGACCCTATCCCTAGGCTCTACAGCAGATCTGATGCGATTTTTTGTGAGAAGTTGGAGTGTGTCTTTTGGTTCGAAAATCAAACAGTTTGGATGGTGATGAGGGGTTCGCATGTGTGAGTGACCTTTTTGCGTGTGGTAGTTGAAGGGCGGGGGGGGGGGGGGGGGGGAGTTATGTCGAAACTACTGCCCGTAGGAGGAGTATTTTGAAAATTTTTGAAAGATTAGATCGAACATCGTGGTTAATCCTGGACTAAAATCGCCATTGGGTTTGCCTTTATGAAATATCTGACTACCCGTTACTAAGAGGTCTGGCCAGTTATGAACCTCTCAGAGCGAGGGATTACGATAAGATTAGAGTGGGTTTATCGTGGACGTGGAAGTGCTGAGTAATGCCCAGTGGCGAAAAAGAGCGAAGAAATTCGTCGAGAACGCGAAAAATGTTAACCCTTTCTTTGCACGATAATGGACGGGCTAGTAACCAACTGACAGGTCTTTTGCACATGTTAAACCGATAGCCACCATCACACTAGCAAAGGCCATGCTTTGACTTGGTAACAAGTTCCATGGGAAAGTTATAGCATATGCACTCACAGCGGAATTCCTCCTCAAAACGATAATGAAGGGTGCTGCGGCTGGGGGCGGGGTCAGGTCAACCCTATCGTTGTTACTCTTTCGGAAATTTTTTACGACCCCCCCTTCATGGGTGATTTGATACGACCCCCCTTGTATGTAACACTTGTGTAGAGGCAGTGTTGCCATCACTATTTATTGCTACGTAAGTCCCTAGCCTCCTGACGGTGGAGCGCATTTGCTCACGGTGAAGAGGCGTCGAACGGGGAGTGTGAAAATTCGAGGAGTTTTTCTTTTTTACATTTCAGGTAGTTCGGAAGATTCAGGTGGATTTTGGATCGATGTGGCTCCTCCTTCCTAACGAGTGCTCATTTGTTCTCAAACACTTCGGAATGAAAAGTTATTAGGCAAAAAATAAAATTGAAACACGATTTTTACACTCCTCTTTCTAGGGCTATAACTTCCTTCATATTCGAGCTTCAGCGCCGAAGTGATTTGATTTGGAAAAAACAAAATTTCTCTCTCCCCAACCAAGGTAAAAATTTCGAAAGTTAATTTAATAAAAATTTAGTACGTTGTTACTTTTTTCTGTGCAAAGTGCGACTTTTTGACCTTTTAAACGATCATAACTTCCTTCAAAGTCATTCATTTGGGAAGCTGAACACGTATAATAAACTACAGGATTCAAGCTTTCTAACGAGCACCCAAGCGTTCCTGAAAGATCAGTAGTTCAAAAATTAGTCCCGTTGTTACTTTTTTGGGGGTTTGCGTTACTATTTTTTTGGAACCGCGACTTTTTTACCTTCAAACGATCATAACTTCCTTAAAAGTCATTCATTTGGGAAGCTGAACACGGTATAATAAACCACAGGTTTCAAGCTTTCTAACGAGCACCCAAGCGTTCCTGAAAGAGCAGTTCAAAAATTAGCCCGTTGTTACTTTTTATTTTGAGGGGTATTCTTCAAGCCATTTTCTCGAAAACGCGAGTTTTCTTAGGTTTCACTGCCCGTAACTTCTTGGAAGACCAATTTTATGTTGGTAATAACCCCCCACCAAGCTCAATTGAGTACGACCCCCCGTTGTTACTCGTAACAACGTTGACCATGGGGGGGGGCACAGGCCGTGGCGGAACTCAGAAAGGAATGGCAGGCCCAGTACGCTGCAGGTAGCGCACCTCCTGCCATAAGAGGCAGCCACATAGTCGTTCGTTAGCTAACCTAACCGCCTCATGGCCAGAAACTTCCACGCTGACACCAATCCCTTTATCGTAATCTCTCGCTTTGAGTTTTTTGTCTCTTCTTAACTGATTCTGATTTTTCAGGAATGACAGCGATTTGTTACTACTCGAAGTACAAAAAGTACAGTAGCCTTCGATGTGAATGACGAGCACACTATGAACTCATACTCAAAAAGTTCATATCATCCAACGAAAATCTGAGGGGCTTAGCTGTTCTCAGCGTATTTCGACCTGCCTGCGGCGATTCTGTCAATCAGTGCGAATCCAAGACGTTCCGTTTACTCCTTCTTTCTCATTCAAAGGCACAATTCGCGCCAAGTGACCACGCTGTACCATGTGCGGCAGACCTTAAGGAAAGAAGGCGTGATTGAGCTTATGGCTAGCTTCACACTACGTCGCATCAACCCCACAGATGTGAGGGTTGATGCGAAGTAATGTGAAGTAGTCTGGGCACAATGGACGTGTGCGTGAACTACACGGTAACAGTAACTGAATGTATTCATCCCCGAGAAGTCCTCTAGCAGTATTCGCTCTTCTCACTCCTTTGTACGGTGACATTCCCTAGCAGCTTTGTCTACCAGATCATGTAAGTGGAGTCAATTAACACCATGAAAGGGTCCTTCGGTTTTATTTAGAGCAAAAAGTTCTACTACATTTAGTATAGCGTTGATATGAACAAGAACACAATGGGCGTTGCCCGATCCCTTTTGAGCTGCACCACGTGTTCTGCTTCAATCCATAAGTCGTGGAGTGTATTATTAATCTTAGGCGTAAAATGGTAGTAATGAGTGATCACGATGGGATCAAATGCCCGGTGCGCTTACACGATCCTAGCCGGGATATGAATGCCTGGTAGGTACCGTTTGTCACTATATCACTTCACCCCGCTAGGGCCACATTGGTAGCTTTACTGCTATTTTTTGGGTACCTGATTTTGCTTAATGAGGAAGACGTAGGTTGTTCTTTCCAGCGTCACAGCAATGAACCATATTATTGGAGCAACCCGCCCAGCAACCCAATTTGTGGGTGCAAGCACTTAACGCGAGCTGTCCCTTTGGAGGCATCACATAGAAACTTTCACGTGCCTTCTTCGCTGAAATAACAGCAAGTGGGTAATGGCTAACTAGGAATATTTGCTTGCTTGCGATCTGCGCACCAACGGTCACTCAATTGACATATTCCATAAGTGCTCTTTTAAGTGAACTAATCTCTAGTCATTCACTATTGTTGTGATCCAGTGCCTTCATATTCTATCAGCCGTTGTGATTTTGTGATGTGATTTGATTCATTCCTAACGAAGTGGAGCGAAAGCTCCCCATGGGTTGAGTTGACATTCTTTTCCTCGTATTTGGATATCTTTGAATGTTTATTCGCCAATTTGTCCGTGCCTTTTGTTCCAATCTTTTTTGCTTTAATCGTGCTTTTGCTTTTCTTCAGAGGTGACTCAATGATTTTAAACTGGTATTTACAGCAAATAAATAAGTTATCACATCAAATTCGTTTTTAGCACAACCTTTACGCAAGAAAATTCACTGTCGTGCCATGTATTTCATTTGTTAGCGAGCTTTGGGTTTTTTCAACTTCTTCAGAACACAAACTCCGAGTAAATATTAGGTTGTCCCATAATTAGTGAATCACTTTACATTTATTGCTATTAAAAATCCAAGAAAAATGGTGAAGGCGTGAAACATGTTTTGCGAAGTAGCATCCACATTATCCTACCTGAGCAATTACTCAGCCCATTTACATGCTGCCTTCCGTGGCTGATACTTCAATTTTTCTGGAACCTATTTTTGAGCTCCCTTCTTAATCACTTCTGATTAGGATCTTTCAAACGCCCAACAACATAGAGAATCAACCAGCAGATAGGCGAGGGCACGCTCCCTCAATCCACGGTCTGCTTGTAGTTCACTCTATCGAGAGGTT